AGACAAACAATCAAGCAGTAAACAATACCTTAATCAAGGAACTACCAACTCAGACAAACAATCAAGCAGTAAACAAGAGCCTAATCTAGGAACTACCAAGAAAAAAAACACATCCCCTCCAACATTGCCAGGGCAAACTACTGTATATAACAGAGAGCAAACCCTATTCCCTTCTAGCGCTAAAAGATGTTACCTAGTTTGGTAATGAAATGTCTGCAAGAAAGCAACCAAGGTCAGAAAACCCCAGTTTGCTGGCTGAGGAATTCTGGGAGTTGAAGTCCACATATCTTAAAGTTGCCAAGGTTAAGAAAGACTGCTCTAGTCAAACTAATCAAACTGCAGAAACCAGTCAGTCATTTCACTCAATCAGTAATCATACACATACACACTGATAAATATATACAAGAATATACAAGATGCACTTTAAATCAGAGATATAACCTACAAATGGACAACAGAGTTATGGAACATGGCATTTGCCTTTTGCCAACAGCCTTGCTTCTTCTGTACAGCAATAAGTCTTAGATAAACATTCCCATTTGTGCTACTGGGATCTTTTTCCTTAAGACTAACTGCAATAGTGAGAGGAGGATTTGCCAGGACCAGTACTTGGAAAGAGTAACCTTTCTTTTCTTACATGTTGTCAGTCACTGAACACCCACCCCCTCCACACACTATTTTTAAAAAATCGCTCTCATATGCACAAATGCGACTTTTTAGAAGCTAATCCTTGCTGCTCTGTGGCTTTCAACAGGACTAACATAAAGAAGAAGAACATAGATGGCTGAAAGAAAATGTCCACTCACTGCTAACTCCAATCTAGCCCAAAACTGATAAGGAACCTTTCTGAGGGAATACAGTCCTTGCTTAAAAAGGTTCCTTGTCATTTGCTACCATATGAAGGCTACAGAACTTTTTAATAATTCTTTATTTCTGTCCTAACATAATAGGCTTTCAACGTAATTGGGAAGCAGATACGTATGTGGAAGTCTCACTACCCTTTGAGACTGGGATGTCTGTTTAAAAGGATATCCAGGCGCTCAACAGGTCCTACTGCTTTGCCAGATTTTTTTGGATTTTTTTCCAACCCACTGGAACATTTAAGAAAAATCAAGTAAAAGGCTCAGGATTCCAGTCTGTCTGTCAGCAGGGTATCTCTCTGAAAACAGAAGAGAATGGGCCCAATTTTTGTATTGGAGGAAAAGCTGGCAAAAGAGAGTGAGTTTGAAAACAGGATTCGGCCAAAGAGAAAAAATGAAGGAAATATTTCCCCAATGCATCCCTATCATAGATGTCATTCAGCAGTGGATTGCAATGTTGATGATTCCTCCATTCTAAACCCCTCTCCATCCTCCTTCTTGGTCATGTAACCCAGAGTGGAGCTGTTATAAAGAGAATGGAAAAATATTCTAGAAGCTATGCTCTGCATGCTTCCTCTCGCTTCTTTAAATCTGCATGTTATGCCAATCTTTTCATTTCCCAATGGGAGAAAGTCCCATAAACCACACAATCCAAAATCAAGGTCCTTACCTGTTCAAAGCCAGGTTCATTGTGATAGGGATTCTCAGTCATTAAAGACTGTATAGATATAAGCACCGAAGATATGCTCTGTGCAGGGCTCCAGGCTGGACCAGTCCATGTGCTGCCAGATAGCAAGAAACGGGAGCTTATTTTCATATGTGCGACAAAACATCATTTCTTAATGGACACAGATGGATTTCAGCATATTTTGATGTAGCTTGCCACATTCATGAATCCAGTTAAATGAAAAGTATCTAGTGGGGGGAACAGCCCCTGGGATTCAAGGACAAAAAGGTGCTTCAGAACATTCAGGGACACAAAGGTAATACCTGTCTGCAAGTCTTTAAACAGTTGTGCCTTTTCCTGGGATCGTGCAGCCATTGCAAAAGAGACCGAAGAGATGCTGGGAAAAGATGCAGCTTTATTATAAAGCAACGTTTCTCAACCTAGGCCGGTTGAAGAAGTGTGGACTTCAACTGGGAGTTGAAGTCCACACCTCTTCAAGTGGCTACGGTTGAGAAACACTGTTATAAAGAGTTCCAGACGAGTGCTATGTGAATGCTCTGAGAGGCCCAAGCACCTTTTTCTGCTTGAATCGAAAGCATTGTATCTAGGCCCACAAAATGGTAAGTCAAACTGAAGAGTTACTGTGGAGCCTTAGAAACAAAGAAGAAAAATGTTACATTCATGAGGTATCTTGCAGTATGAAGAATAAATATCCAAATGTTCTAAAGATCAATATTCATTGTCCAGCAACAATAAACTCACATTCAACTCTGGGAAAGAGAAGGTCTTTTCGGGTTAGGGCTACATTACCTCAGGTTACTGTGTTGATTATTGCAGGCCTATAAGTAAGTTATCCAAAGTCAGCAGCAGGTAAGGCTAGACCTTAATGTGCATTATGCCTCCTTTTCTCTGACTCTTCTGAGCTGTTGGGGAAGGGCGCATTACCAAAGATCTGAACTAACTGCAGAAGTCTTCTGAAATTAGGCCTAGGGCCATATGCAGTCCTAGGATTGCAGGTTGTCCATCCACTGTAGAGATTAGACTGGACTTGCAATTTCACAAAAGCACCATAGCATATGCAAATGTTCACAGCAGGCATAGAATTCAGCATCTTAAGAATTGTTAGCTAGAATGCTTTAGTTCTTATGATAGTACAGAAGCTGGCTGGGGTACCAAAGAAAACGCCCAGTGGCCAACATACAAGATTCCACTTAGCTCCTTGGCTTTCTGTACTGGCACTGCAGAAGACTGGTGAGGAGTTAGTGGTGTGGACTCCTTTTTCCCTTTGCACATGTAAGAAACAGCTATGCAGAAAGGGTTATTTAGCAGCAGAGGCAATTTGTGTGGGTACTGCACATTCCTCCACATGTGCACTTAGAAGCAAGCTTCGTGGATTGCTGAATTATACTGTTAATCATTCTTGCCTGCCTCTTATCTGTATTCTTACTTATCACCATTAAGATAAAGAGGACATCAGCTCCTTAATCTAACACCTGCCAAGGGAAAAGCAATGTTCTCATAAACAAAGGGCTACTTATCTGGGGTCTCAAGGTATTCACCAGACAAGTCGTCACACCATCCCCAGGTGCTGTCTATTAGAGACCCTGACTTCCCTAAAAATATCCATGGCAGACATTCCACTATCGAAAGTTATGATCAAGTCCCTGATAAGATGTGCCACCAAGCCATCCCAAGGTGCTATTGTTTATATCCCCTCTCTCTTAAGAAAAGTATAAAAATTGCCCAAACCCCCAAGACAGGGTGGGAATTCAGATTTGGAGAGCCCCTGGTCCTTGCTGGGAACTATTTCTGCAACAACCTCCTGTCAAAAGCCATTTCAGTTGAAACGTAACAGTGAATAGGGTTTATTAAAGGGGAACACACACGACCAGGTAGCAGTCCCAGACAGGCAGTAGTGTTAAAGGTGGCCAATGTGATCATACTTCTGGGAAGCAGCCCACAATTCCCTGTGGGGCAGGCTTGTTCTATATCCTGATCCATCTGGACACCACAGGAATTAAAGCCTTGCAGCCCAGGTGAAACTCTGAATGCCTGTTTTTTTCAGTCAAGACCAAGACCAAGACCAAGACCAAGACCAAGACCAAGACCAAGACCAAGACCAAGACCAAAATTCAAGTCAAGACTAAATTCACCATGGTTGGTTGGTTATTTATTTATCTATCTCCGCCCATCTCCCCCTAATGGGGGACTCTGGGCAGCTCACAAAATCCATTAAAACAATAAATATATAAAACTTAAAAGTTATAAAAGTTGGC